ACACAGGACAGTCCAGCATTTTAGAGGGTGGGAAGACTGGGTTTCCCCGCTTTCTGATGCTTTTAACGACCCCTAAACACATAGAACTGGCCCTAACCCACCTACGCCCCATGATAGAGTGCAGCCTAGGTCCTACGAATGCATGCAACCTATCTACCATTACCTGAAATACTAGACTGTCCTGTGACCTGTGAATTTTCCCTGTTTGGGGTAAGATATTAATAAAGCACTATAATTAGAAAGTCAAGGTATTCACAGTTCTGGACATTTTCAGTGTCTTCCTCGTTGATTTTGATTAGGTTTGATACTTTGCCGAATGTCTGCAAATTTCCTATTGCATACTCCACTGCTAGCTACTGAATGGTGCATAGTAGTACATTTTATGGAAGTTTGCCATTAATTAATCAGATATATGGTGCTTGTATCAGGCTCTTAGAGAGCTGCTGCTTCTTGTTTACCAGCTGTAAACTGCAGGGAGACAGGTCTCTTCTTGTTTACCAGCTGTAAACTCCAGGGGGCCAGGTCTCTTTTTGTTTACCAGCTGTAAACTCCAGGGGAAAGGTCTCTTCTTGTTTACCAGCTGTAAACTCCAGGGTGCAGGTCTCTTCTTGTTTATCAGCTGTAAACTCCAGGGGACAGGTCTCTTCTTGTTTACCAGCTGTAAACTCCAGGGAGACAGGTCTCTTCTTGTTTACCAGCTGTAAACTCAAGTGGACAGGTCTCTTCTTGTTTACCAGCTCTAAACTCCAGAGGACAGGTCTCTTCTTGTTTACCAGCTGTAAACTCAAGTGGACAGGTCTCTTCTTGTTTACCAGCTGTAAACTCAAGTGGACAGGTCTCTTCTTGTTTACCAGCTGTAAACTCCAGGGGACAGGTCTCTTCTTGTTGACCAGCTGTAAACTCCAGGGGACAGGTCTCTTATTGTTTACCAGCTGTAAACTCCAGGGGACAGGTCTCTTCTTGTTTACCAGCTGTAAACTCCAGTGGCCACGTCTCTTCTTGTTTACCAGCTGTAAACTCCAGTGGCCAGGTCTCTTCTTGTTTACCAGCTGTAAACTCCAGGGGACAGGTCTCTTCTTGTTTACCAGCTGTAAACTCCAGGGGGACAGGTCTCTTCTCGTTTACCAGCTGTAAACTCCAGGGGGCCAGGTCTCTTCTTGTTTACCAGCTGTAAACTCCAGTGGCCAGGTCTCTTCTTGTTTACCAGCTGTAAACTGCAGGGAGACAGGTCTCTTCTTGTTTACCAGCTGTAAACTCCAGGGGGACAGGTCTCTTCTTGTTTACCAGCTGTAAACTCCAGGGGGACAGGTCTCTTCTTCATCCACCTCTGGACCTTTAGTTTTGTTTCAGAACATTTGTTTTGCATGCACACCCATTTTACATATCAGGCTATCTGTAAGCAGACAGCTGGTTCCTCGTTTCTCAGGCAGATTCACTCCATCCTCAGTTAGTCGATTCTTTCAATGTGCTTTGCTGGGGGCAGTGGATCTACCCCCCACCCTCTTTCCAACATACATTATGTGGACACATCGCATTTCGCTGCAGGCATTATACTTCAAAAACCTGGCTGCTCGACTGATTACACAGAGACAATTGTTCAGTAAATAAAGGTTTATTGGCTTTCGCTTTGCTGATTGAATGAAACATAAAAGAACAAATTTCACAGCAAACTGGGCATTCTGAATTTGCAGGCCAACCCTTCGGCAACATTCTGTGAGCGCTAATAACCCCTCACATACGCTACAGTTTAAGGTTCAAAGTTTGGGAGCTGAGCGGCTTACAAGTACAACACCCACCTCCAAGTTTAACAGACATAGCTTCATTTACACTGAGAATGGCATTGGACATTTTATCATTCAAGAACAACAAAGTATGTGTAAAATGTTATATACAGGATCCAGGTCCACATTTGGGGGTGGGGGGAGGGGGGGGGGGACGGACAAAAGAACAGATTTGACACCCCCCTCCACGTATGCCATAAAAAGTGACATTCAGGAAGATTTCCTCAGAGTGCAGCTCCTTGAGAGGTGAGCAACCAGCAGTACACATCAGCCAGATCTATCAAACTGGATGTACATGCAAAACATGTTCTTGGACAGCACCAAAGAGCAGAAGTGGATGAACCATCAGAATTTTCTGCCAGAGTTTACAGCCGGTGAGCAAAAAGAATATTCAAGATGCCCCCCTCCCTCCCCCAATCAATAATTTCAAGGTGTATGTTTTAGGTAATTTCAGATAACCATTTTTTGAGTAAAATGTTTGGTCAAGTTTCACAGCCAGCCCAGCTGCACAGCTAGGTCAATGTTACATGGTTGAAATCACTGTGTGTACTGTACATGTTTAAACAGTTGAAGTCACTGTGTGTACTGTACATGTTTAAACAGTTGAAGTCACTGTGTGTATTGTACATGTTTAAACAGTTGAAGTCACTGTGTGTACTGTACATGTTTAAACAGTTGAAGTCACTGTGCGTACTGTACATGTTTAAACAGTTGAAGTCACTGTGTGTACTGTACATGTTTAAACAGTTGAAGTCACTGTGTGTACTGTACATGTTTAAACAGTTGAAGTCACTGTGTGTACTGTTCATGTTTAAACAGTTGAAGTCACTGTGTGTACTGTACATGTTTAAACAGTTGAAGTCACTGTGTGTACTGCACATGTTTAAACAGTTGAAGTCACTGTGTGTACTGTACATGTTTAAACAGTTGAAGTCACTGTGTGTACTGTACATGTTTAAACAGTTGAAGTCACTGTGTGTACTGTACATGTTTAAACAGTTGAAGTCACTGTGTGTACTGTACATGTCTAAACAGTTGAAGTCACTGTGTGTACTGTACATGTTTAAACAGTTGAAGTCACTGTGTGTACTGTACATGTTTAAACAGTTGAAGTCACTGTGTGTACTGTACATGTTTAAACAGTTGAAGTCACTGTGTGTACTGTACATGTTTAAACAGTTGAAGTCACTGTGTGTACTGTACATGTTTAAACAGTTGAAGTCACTGTGTGTACTGTACATGTTTAAACAGTTGAAGTCACTGTGTGTACTGTACATGTTTAAACAGTTGAAGTCACTGTGTGTACTGTTCATGTTTAAACAGTTGAAGTCACTGTGTGTACTGTACATGTTTAAACAGTTGAAGTCACTGTGTGTACTGTACATGTTTAAACAGTTGAAGTCACTGTGTGTACTGTACATGTTTAAACAGTTGAAGTCACTGTGTGTACTGTACATGTTTAAACAGTTGAAGTCACTGTGTGTACTGTACATGTTTAAACAGTTGAAGTCACTGAGTGTACTGTACATGTTTAAACAGTTGAAGTCACTGTGTGTACTGTACATGTTTAAACAGTTGAAGTCACTGTGTGTACTGTACATGTTTAAACAGTTGAAGTCACTGTGTGTACTGTACATGTTTAAACAGTTGAAGTCACTGTGTGTACTGTACATGTTTAAACAGTTGAAGTCACTGTGTGTACTGTACATGTTTAAACAGTTGAAGTCACTGTGTGTACTGTACATGTTTAAACAGTTGAAGTCACTGTGTGTACTGTACATGTTTAAACAGTTGAAGTCACAGAGAATTGGAACTGACACTTGTGGAGACTTAAGACTGAAACAGACAGTCTATGATATTTACATCAAAACAATGGCTACAGTACCAGTCATGAGTTATCTACTGTTGAACATGTCTTTTTAAGAAGTAAAGTAGGTCAACGACCCTTACATACCAGTGCTGCATCGAGTATATGATACCAGATTCAGATTCCTATAGACAAATCAGCACATGCTTATGGTCAACATCACGCCAGCCACCTTTACTTTCCAGGACTTTACTAAGTACAAGTTTTAACCCGAATCAGCCTGGTAACCTAGAAGCAAACAAGCCCAATGCCTTGTATTTTGGGAACACCCCCCCCCCTCCCCCCAATCCTTAAACAATTTTTTTTACACAGGCTGCTAACAATTTGTTTTATGGACCAAATCAATATTTATTTCTAACACTTGAACTTTAAACTTAAACATGGGTTAACACTGGTGGCAATGGAAAAATATGAAGTCATAATTTCTAGTCTGAAGGCCAATTGTTCTTCTTCTTCTTCACTTCCTCTTTTACCGCTGTGGGTGTCGAGGGAGATATAAGGTTCTGTCTCTAGCTCTTCTGGCTACCTCGACCATAAGCACATCGTGCTGTTGTCGAGTTTCTCTGATGTTATCCTTCCATCGTGTTCTTGGTCTACCCTGTGCTCTACGTACTTCTTCTCTTTCCATGTATGCTTTGTATGGTATGGTGTCACAAGGCATTCTCTCTAAGTGGGCAAACCATTTCACTGGCTGTCTTTGTATGTAATCCAGAATTGGTTCTGTGCCGACTTGTTCTCTGATGATCACTAGTATTTATTGTAAATGTCACCAACTGCCCACGAACAATAGACCAGTGCTGTTAGCTATGATTCTCATGAACAAGCCACTACAGCCAAGTCAGTAACAAGACATTTATGAAACTAGTAACCTTTATCTGTGCTCTGATGCTTCAGTTTGTTCAATAACATAAATTGATGCTATAATGTAAATTATCTCCACCTTTGCCGGTCCTCTGCCTGGATGAGAAAGGAGGAGGGTTGGGCATGAGTCTAACTCCCCCACCCCATTTTTATGTTGCTTAAGGAACTTAAGGAAAGGAAGCCATTCCATTAAACATTACAAAACGGAATGGAATATTATAGAACGGAATATGTGAGCCCTATGTGACATATAAAGGCATAACAGGACAATGATGATGATGATGTAAATGCTTCATTAACAAGTTATACAACATTAAAACAAATAACTTTTGTGCTTGTCATGTCAGTTCTTCATTCTGTTAAACAAAGGGCTTTTACCCATACAATGATGTCAATTCTATATTTACTATAACTATACAGCAGAGAAACTAAGAACCTTGCTACCGGATCTCGGACCAAACACTAGACAAGGCAACAGCAGGAACCTCATACTAAGACAAGCCTGTTGCAAATGTTGCTTTTGCTACCACTGCTGGTGTGACCTTATCTCTCAACTCTGGAGGCAGCTTCTGATGTATGCAGTCGTGAATGTATTTAGCTGAGTATTTATTTGAAAAGTGGACCAAAATAATGTGGCCCACATCCTTGAAAATCTCTGCATTTTGTGCAATTTCCTGTAAATGTGTATGACCAAAATCTCTGGCTTTCTGCACCATGTTTTTGCCTAAAAGAAATACAAGAATATGGTTAGTTCAAAATTTTGCACACTGAATAGAATGGAAAATACTTAACCTAGGCAATCTTCTTCTTGTTCACATTCAATAGCTGTAAACTTTGATGAAAAGTTCTGATTGTTCAGCCACTTTTGGACTTGTTTCAGCACACCTGTTTTACAGATCTGGCTTATTTGTTCACAGACTGTTGCTTCCTTGCCTCTGAGGCAGATGCACTCCAGCTTCAAAGAAAACCCCTAATTAGTCGACTCTTACAACATGCTTGTTAGGGTGCAGTGGACCCCTTCTGGTTTCCTCCACAATGGGTACCAGAACCCAAATGCAGAAACCTCGACAATAATACAAAGTCAGCTGGAAAGAATAACAAATTACAACAGCAGGATAGGACAAGGAGCAACTATATTTTCAAGAGGAAGAGTACTTTATCTAAAAGGTCAGTTTTACTGCATGATAGAAAAAGGTACTACCATGTTATGCTGAATATGTTACACTACATGGTAGTGAATTTTAGAGTGTTAAATAACAAATTAACTTCTGACGTGTTGGTTTTGGAGCCCCATTGTGGGGAAAACAAGAACAGACCCACTGCCTACCCAAAAGCATGTCATAATAGTCAACTAATTGGCAGCTTCCTTCGAAGTCAGTACATCTGCCTGAGAGGCAAGGAACCAACAGTCTACACACAAATGAGTCAGAGCTGTGAAACAGATGTGCATGCACCACATCAGAGTACATCTGCCGGAGAGGCAAGGAACCAACAGTCTACATACAAATGAGTCAGACCTGTGAAACAGATATGCATGCACCACTCACTTTCTGGAACAGAACTAAAGTCCAGAGGTGGGTGAACAACCAGAACTTTCTGTCTTGAGTTTACAGCCGGTGAATGTGAAGAAGAAAATGAAGAAGAAAGAACTGTTGACATTTTTCTCTAAATCACTAAACACAAAAATACATACCAATATGATCATCTAAGTAAGTTGCTTCTGTGATGAGAAGTTTGACTTTCAGAAGGTCTGGGGTTGGTGGATTTGTGAAGATATCAAAAACTGTGTCACCTGAAAGAAAGACAACAGCATAACTGATTATTCACTGTTAGCTCGTCTAGTACCAACAACTAATTGTATTAACTGTCAACTTAAGTGGTTCTCGTTTAAAGTAAACAATGTTTGAATTAAAGAAATAAAAATAACTAATGCAAACAGCCATCCAGACAAACATTTTCAAAAATAATAAAAGCTTATAAAAAAATAACAACACTGTGGGACAGTAGGTGTTAAACTAACAATTTGGATTTGTGAAGACTTCCTCTTCTTTGCTTTCACTGGCTGTAAACTCCGGCAGAAAGTTCTGGTTGTTCGTCCACCTCTGGAATTTAGTCTTGGTCCAGAAACTGAGTGTTGCATGCACATCCGTTTTACAGATCTGGCTTATTTGTATGCAGACTGTTGATTCCTTGACTCTCAGGCAGGGTCACTCCAACTTCAGAGGATGATCCCAGTTAGTCAACTTCTATGACATGCTTGCTGGGAGGCAGTGGGTCTATATTTACTTGCTGGGAGGCAGTGGGTCTATATTTACTTGCTGGGAGGCAGTGGGTCTATATTTCCCCCCAAAATGGGGCTATGGAACCCACATGAGGAGATTGAAGATTTTAAAATGTAGTCTTATGTCACGGAGAGACAACATCACAAATTAAACAGTTCACTATATCATCACTAAAGGAAACAGGCAACTATGAGCCTCTTTTAACAGTGAACTGATGGAACATGCGGTTGTACAGACAGATAACAAGATCTACTGATTTATGGTTGCACCCTGGAAGAGAGTGCAGCCTCGCCAGGTAATATCCCAAAAGATATCAGTGGACATGCTGTGGCCAAGCTTCATTGTAGAGACGGCAAACAATTATTTTTGTAATACTCAACCCAATTATTAACTCTTTGAGTCCCAAGGAACGCATCATACGCTCTAAGGTTCCTACCTAGAAGCCCAATGAACGCATGATGTGCCGATTTTATTACTTTTTCTTACTACCCCCTGGGCCTGTGATGCTAAACCCCCTGGACTCAAAGAGTTAAAACCCTGCTTGAAAAAGCTCTTGCTAATATTATACTGAAAGGGGGTTAAAGTGGCTGCAGGCAGACAGAAAAAACTTGACCAGATTGTAAACTCTATATCCACATGAGTACTTACCACAATATGCAATTTCTGGAGTGATTGTAATGTTGTGAATATCAACACCATTCCTGTGAAGGGCCGCAACTTCAAATCCTTCCTTGCCTCTATACTCTTCTTTCAGAGTTTTCTCCTCCTTGTACACAATATAACCCTGACTACTAATCCGGTGAATTGTGGGGAAAGCCTTTACAAAATAATGACTGTTGAGCTGTGGAGACAATTTGCATTAATTTGTATGTGTTCAGCAAAGTAAGGAAACAGTGATGAATATCAGGTGACTAATGCATACAGTTTTCAGTTTAGCCTTGGCTGGCAGCTGATCCAGGAGGAAAGCCCTAACAGATAAAGCACTGCTCTTCTGATCCAACAGCTTCTACAGCATGCCTTCTTCTATACATACTGGTGTTACCTTTTCTTTAGAGCAGTGGTCTCCAACCTTTTTCAGGTCATGACCCCTTGAATATATGGCAAGACCTTTTCTGACTTCATTTGTAGTCACCAGTGTTTTCACTACTCAGCCAAAATATTGAAAATCTGTGATATCATTTTCTTTGTAATCGATTTCAATACCTGACTGGTGTGCTGTATTAACTGTGGAAGGAGTCAAAGTTATAAAATAAGTTCTGAATTTTTTTCTGTATTTTGGGGGATAAAAGATAGTGATGAAGGGAAATGGCTTATTTAGTTGTGGTTTAGATGCAGATTAAGACCGAGCCATAAGAGGTAAACCTGGTGCGATGAAGTTAATCCCACTGCAGAGCACAGAACATGTGGACTGACCAGGATTAAGTCTAGATTGGTAATCTGTCCTCCATGTCTTTTACTGTCAACACACACCAACGCAATGATCAGAAACACAATACTGCATACTGCATCAACTAAAACAGGGCTATTCAACCAAGCTTAGTCAAGGGCCAACATTTCTGAAAATGTGTATCGTCACGAGCCAGAACTCCAGCAAAGAAAGATCATTATTACAATACAAATGACAATGATCCGCGGGTCACGGCACTGATCCGCAGGACACTTGCTAGGCCTCCCCAGGACAGATTTGGCCCATGGGCCCGCCAGTTGAATAGCCCTGAACTGAAGTCTTATCTAACACTCAAGAACCATATTAAAAACGTAAGGAATAAGGCATTGAGGCGGTTACAGTTATTAAAGAGACTTGCAGGTACAGCATGGGGATCAGACAAGAAAACTCGGAGAGGCTTATATCTTGGATATGTTCGCTCTATGATAGAGTACAACAACTCACTGCTTACAGCCTGCTCCAAAACTAACCTAGAGACTCTTGACAGAGTACAAAATAATGCCCTCCGGTTAATCTGCGGAGACATGCGGCCTACTTCAACTGCTGCCTGTGAAATCAATACAAATGTGGAACCCCTCCAGTTGCGGAGAGAAAAAGCCACTTTAGACATTTATAAAAGATGCGTTAGAATGAATCGTAACCATCCCAATAGACACCTTGTAGAAAACTGGGAATACAAACAAAGAATAAAGCACAAATCGGTTTTACACTGTGTTAATGAAATTCAGGACAGATACCACCTCCTAGAAAGACGTCAAGGCATTCAGAATGTTGCAAGAAACCTATCACCACATGCTCGCTTTAAAGCTCCAGAAGTCCAAACTAAATTGGTAGGCGAGGAAACCAAACAGTCCGACCCAATCGCTCTTATGAACTCATCACTAAAGACAGTTGATTCTTACCCCCAAGAATGGATACATGTTTATACTGATGGATCTGCATTTAAATCTACCATTAAAGCAGGTTACGGAATCTATATAGGTTATCCCGATAGATCTGGTGAAGAGATTTTTTGATGCATGCTGGGAATTCTGCTCAAATTATGAAGCTGAAATAATTGCACTGAAAACAGCTGAATACCACCTAAAGACTATAATGGATGTTTACCCTTCAAAGGCCCAAAATGTTGTCATCTTCACAGATTCAATGTCTGCCCTTCAAACTCTGGAGGGCAGTGAACACTGCAGAACTGACATAGCCAAGATCATCCTGGATGCTGATCAGCTTACCTCATACATCAGAATAGTGATGCAGTGGATTCCAGGCCACTCCGGCACACCAGGTAATGACAGAGCTGACAGACTGGCAAAGAAAGGAGCAACACAAGAACAACCACCTACAGCGACAACCCTACAGACAGCAAAAACACTTATAAGAGCTATAAACAAAGAGACTTGGTTGAACAGATGGGCAATGGGAGACACTGGAAGAGAGGTTTATAGACATATGGCTGGCTCTGATCTTAATGACAGCATTAATCATCTAACAAGAAAGGACCAGGCCACCATCTTCAGACTTAGAACACAACATACTCCACTCAGTGGACATCTAAACAGAATACAGCCACAACCCTCCCCAGAGTGCGAGCTATGTAACTACCCCTACGAAACTGTTGAACACCATCTCTTTGAGTGCCCAAAACTCAGCGAGACTAGAAGAATGCTACTCTCTCCGAAACCAGACAAGTGGAACACCTTGTACGGAGGAAAAGAACAGCTTGTGAAAACATGCAAATTCCACTACATGGCATTGGGCCAAAGGGCGCAAGCTCATGCGCCGCTGGATCGATAACAACAACAACAATCTAACTCTCTCTCCCAGTCTACAGCATGTTTACTAACTTACCCTCGCTACATCTCCTTCGACAATAGGTTGTATGTTGGCACTGCTCAACAGTTCTGGAGTCTGAGCCATCTCAAAATGAGTTCGTAAGACTGTGAGCAATGGCTGAACCAAGTTGGGTGGTACATAGTAGCGGGCTGGTTTCATTCCAAAAAGCTCCCTTTTAGCTACATGACTAGTGATAGCAGCTATGTGATCAATATGGCCATGTCTAGAAGTAAACAAAAGATCTAGATACATGAAAGAGATTTATCAAACATTTTGGTCACAATAAAGATAAAACTCTCATACAAATCATAATGGAGGGAGAAGTTGAAGGCAAGTGAGCAAGAAGCAGCCAGTGATACAGATGGGAGGATAACATAAGAGATGGACAAACGTCTGGGAGAGCAAACATCCAGGTCGAAAGACAAGAATATGATGTTGATACACTGCAGTCGGCCTTTATTGCGGATACAGCATCTGAATGATTGATTGACAAGACTGAGGAAATTAACCTGATACAAACGTATGCTGAAGTTAGAATCTTCTCTCAGTCTGTCTTTCTTTATCTCTGTTTTTACTAATTTGTTCTCCTCCTCCTTTAAGTTCACCGGCTGTAAACCCTGGTGGAAGGTTCTGGTTGTTCATCCACTTCTCAACTATAGTCTTGTTCCAGAATTTGAGTTCTGCGTGCACATCCATATTACAAATCTGGCTTATCTGTATGCAGACTGTTGGGTTTATGCCTCTCAATCTGATGCACTCTGACTCTGAAGGAGACACTCCTAATTAGTAGACTTTTGGGGCATGCTTATTGTGGGGGTTTGGGGGTGGGGAAGAAGTAGATCTATTACCCCCCCCCCCCCTCCCCAAATAGGGCCCCTGAACCAGTATGGAGATACTAACTTGTCCAGTTGCTGTAGCATGCCCCAGTTGTTTTTCTTATTGTGGCCAACAAGGGTTAACACCAGCTTCTGATGATAGGATGAAGATGAGGGGGTGAATGAAGAGCATTTATCACCTTGAGGGTTGAATATTTAGAGAATGACTAAAGTTACTGTCGTGTGCAGATTATGTACTAAAACACACCAATACTGACTAGGCAATTAAGATGTCATTAGCGTTGCGTATTGTTGTTAGGTGATTGAATCTAGAGGAGTTGCAGCTACAAAGTTCAGGCAGGCGGATATGTGGTCCGGTATGGTGGATCCCAGAGGAGGATTTTACCACAGGATCTCACTATGAATATCAGCTCAATGCTGAGCCTTAAAAGAGATGTGTTATGCGTACGATGGATTCCCAGTCGAGAAGTCCAAGGAGATGGACATTGATGTCCTAGTGTGACTCATCTTAAGGGAAGATTTACCCTGGATCCCACAGAGAAATTCAGTGCTGCAGCACTACTGCCATTTCTGAAGCAAGCAGGATGACTTACGCTGATACTTTAGCTCAGCGGGACGGCTGGATAATTATTAAGTAACGACGTAGTTGTTTTTATCAGTACTGGACTGCATGCTGACTGGCTGGAGAAACCGTTAATGTTTCAAGGTTGAGCTGTTGGATTTAAAAAAACTGGACAGATAAATTAGCTCGAGATGTGCCAAAGCTAATCAAGTAATGGGCCAACTATCTCCCCTGTTGAAACACAAGCATATATGCCGAGTAACTAAAGTGAATCTTATCAGAACTATTTTTTGGCCAACACTATGCTATCTGTGCCAAACGTGAACACTTACATCCTCTAATGATCATAAAATTGTGACAACAGAGATGAAATGCCTCAGAAGAGCTGCAGGAGTTTCAAGGAAAGACAGAAAATGAAATGAGACAAATGCTATGAATAAAGCCAGTCTTACAGGTCATCAAAGACACCTAACAAGAATGCCTTGGTACTATCTGCCATAGCGAGCCACACTGAAACGCTACAACGGGTATAGAGTGAGCGGAAGACCTCAGAAAAGATGAAGTGATGGCATTAAGAACATCCTTACAGAAATGAACATCAATCTTAATAGTGCTCCTGACAGAGCTCATTAATGAATGTTACATCTCCCCCCTCTTTCCTGTGGCTTCATACGGATGTGAGTCGTGGACTATCTCTCAGTCCTTAAGAAAGAGAATAGGGGCTTTTGAGCTGAAATGCTAGAGAAAGATTTTCAGAATATCTTGGACAAAGAAGAGGAGAAATATTGACATCTTGAAAGATCTGAACATCAAGGAAGACTGGCTAATAAACAGCATCCTGTCTCGGAAGCTGAAATATTTTGGTCATATCAAGCACCTAGACGGATTGGAAAAAATTATAGAAGGCATGGTACCAGGAAGGAAGGGCAGGGGCCGACAGACATGAAGATGGGCACAGGATATAAGTTACTCCTTGAGTATGAAAGTACATGAGGAGGGAGAACTGGTGAGAGACCGAGTTTCTTACAGGCAGACTGTGATGAGAGCAACATTCTGCAAAGGACCTGCTAAATGATGATGACATCTCCCCTCGACACTTTGCTAAGGTACAAGGTGGAAGAGAAGAAGAAGAATCATATATGAGAGCAGGACTATTTAACTGGGAGCCCATGGGCCAAATCTGGCCAATAAAGACCGGCAAATGGGCCATGGATTATTGCCATACCTAGTGCATTAATGATATTTCTATGGTGCAGCCTGTGAGGATCCCTATTTTCACAATGCTGGCCCCTGAGTAAAGTTAGTTGAACAGCCCTGTATTAGACCACAACCCAACAAAGGTTCCTAATTAAATATGTCTAAAACATACTGCACACATGCGTACTATAATGCATTCTGCACATACACATCCATCTCTATACTTTCATCATAACTGTAAGCAAACATAAAACACAAATACAAGTATCTTACGTGATAAAGACACACGGTGACTTCACACTCTCTGGTACAGCAACGCCCATGTCGAAAGTCACCTGTACATCCTCACATTTGACAACCACACAGCTCTCCACTCCAGATATAGACCAGGCAAAGATACTGTACTGTCCAATGTTTAGCCAACCGTTTTCTTCTCCAACGCTGTACTGCTGTGCCTCTTTAGGCATACGCACATCCTCATGTTTAGTCTGCGGCTCACTCATTTTTGGAATGGCAAAAGTTGGAGAAGAAACTGTACACCTCCTCAGCTGAACCAGAGGTAGTGAGACTAGCTGGCATTTTGTACAAGCACCTGCAAAAATTCCATGGCTCTTTCTTTTCCAGCATGAAAGAAGTCTTTCTGAATTATAAAATAACACTTTACTAGTCTTGAAAACAAGTTGCGATTTACAAAGTCCAGCACTCATTGATTCTGGTTATATTTCATAAACTTGACTAAATACTGAAAAGTGGGTTGTTGAAGCTTGCAAGTTTTGTTTCTGAAATATGGAGAAAAAGGACAACTTCTGTTAGATCATGAATGCTGTTTACTGGTTCTTCTTATTCTGCAGTCACCCTTAGCTCTTTGGGTACCACCGAACTCATCATGCACTGATTTAGAACTAATTTAACTGTCCTCTGGTACTTTTTCTTCTGCCTTCTAACCCCCAAACAACACACCAAGTTATGCCTTTATTTATGCCCGTCTAGGTTCCAGTGCATAGAATTTTCTAGTTAAATTGTTCTATGGTTTTCTCAATGTGTGTCCTATCCAATACCAGCGTCTTTTCTTCACCTCTTGGTCCACTGGAACCTGTTTAGTTCTCCCCCAAAGCTGAACGTTAGTAATTCTATCATACCATTTAATTCCCTCTATTCTGCACAGGCATCAGTTATTGAATCTTTGTAGTCTATTCGTAACTGCTTTAGTTGTTCTCCATATTTCCGCCCCACATAAAAAAGTACTCATCTGACATCAGAATTAACAATTTTAAGTTTAGTATTAGTTATAATTTCTTCTGACCTCCAGAAAATTTATAGTGCAATGAAAGTGCCTCTAGGCTTTTAATATCGCTATAAGTTCCCCAGTCTTTATCTACATTTATTGCCCAAAAAAGGTGTATGCTTCCACGTCTTGGAGTGGGATACCATTAAAAAAAACCACATTACTATTTGCCTGATTTATTCGCATTATCCATGTTGTTCCTTTATGGGTTTTAGACCTATTTGTTGTGATCTTGTATCAAACATTTTTAATTTATCTTACATATGATTCTGTAAGTGGGAGAGAAGACAAATAATGGCACTCTTCCGAATACCGGTCCAAATTATTCACTGTTAAAAAAAAATCTTCCAGGGCCTCAGGAAGTCATATATTTAAAAATATAAAATAGGAACACTGCAAACTATGCTTTGCCTTACTATATAATTTCATTTAAACCAAATTCTCGAGTCTTTGGTAGTCCAGTTTTAAGTATTTTACCTGTCACGCGGGTGACCGGTGTTCGACTCCACGCCAAGTGAAATTTTTTTTTATCAGCCCTTAACTCTTTACAGCCGAAGCAACCGTGTGAGAATTGTTTGAGAAGGTCTGTTTTGCCCAAACAACGGTGTCATCGTCGATCGTGTGTCCCATACATTTTGTTTCACACACACACCTCCGTACCAGTTTCTAATGTTCAGATTTACGACTAAACAATTCAGGGAAAGTCACTCTGCCGAAATCCTTTTAGTTTCATTTCCTAGCCTAAGAAACATGAGCACAATTTGATAGAAATAACAGTGAAATTTTTTTCAACATTGCATTTTCTAAGTTTGTGTCTAAGTTTCTAAGAGTGCCATGAATACCAATGTTTCAACCACAAGTACAGGTCGCAGAATGCGTCTTTCTGAGGCTGAAGTTCTGAAATTGTTTCAGTCAGATGTTTTGTTGTGGTTTATAGCTAGGCTGCCATATCTGCACCTTTCGCTATGTTTTGTGGTTTACAGCTAGGTGAGATGCTCAATGGTCATGTCATGGGTAGGTAATCTTCTTTCTTTTCACTCGCCCTTGAAAGGGTGGTTGGCACAGTGTTGTGGATAAAAGCTAGGCTGTGATTTCTGCACCTTTTGTTCCAACACATCCGATTTCAGCTAAGTCCAAATTAGTCACCATTCACAAGATGCTTTCTAGATGGCAGTGGATCTATTTTTTTCTCTCTCTCAAACATGTGGCCCTGGAACCCACAAGGGGAGTCACGGGTAAGGTGAACAGTGGATCTATATTTTTTCTCTCTCTCAAACATGTGGCCCTGGAACCCACAAGGGGAGTCACGGGTAAGGTGAACAGTGGATCTATTTTTTTTCTCTCTCTCAAACATGCGGTCCTGGAACCCACAAGGGGAGTCACGGGTAAGGTGAACAGTGGATCTATATTTTTTCTCTCTCTCAAACATGTGGCCCTGGAACTCACAAGGGGAGTCACGGGTAAGGTGAACAGTGGATCTATTTTTTTTTCTCTCTCTCAAACATGTGGCCCTGGAACCCACAAGGGGAGTCACGGGTACGGTGAACAGTGGATCTATATTTTCTCTCTCTCTCAAACATGTGGCCCTGGAACTCACAAGGGGAGTCACGGGTAAGGTGAACAGTGGATCTATTTTCTTTCTCTCTCTCAAACATGTGGCCCTGGAACCCACAAGGGGAGTCACGGGTAAGGTGAACAGTGGATCTATTTTCTTTCTCTCTCTCAAACATGTGGTCCTGGAACTCACAAGGGGAGTCACGGGTAAGGTGAACAGTGGATCTATTTTTTTTCTCTCTCTCAAACATGTGGCCCTGGAACTCACAAGGGGAGTCACGGGTAAGGTGAACAGTGGATCTATTTTTTTTCTCTCTCTGAAACATGTGGCCCTGGAACCCACAAGGAAAGTCACGGATAAGGTGAACAGTGGATCTATTTTTTTTTCTCTCTCTCAAACATGTGGCCCTGGAACCCACAAGGGGAGTCACGAGTAAGGTGAACAGTGGATCTATATTTTCTCTCTCTCTCAAACATGTGGCCCTGGAACCCACAAAGGGAGTCACAGGTAAGGTGAACAGTGGATCTATTTTTTCTCTCTCTCTCAAACATGTGGCCCTGGAACCCACAAGGGGAGTCACGGGTAAGGTGAACAGTGGGTCTATTTTTTTTCTCTCTCTCAAACATGTGGCCCTGGAACCCACAAGGGGAGTCACGGGTAAGGTGAACAGTGGATCTATTTTTTTTCTCTCTCTCAAACATGTGGCCCTGGTACCCACAAGGGGAGTCACGGGTAAGGTGAACAGTGGATCTATATTTTCTCTCTCTCAAACACGTGGCCCTGGAACCCACAAGGGGAGTCACGGGTAAGGTGAACAGTGGATCTATATTTTTTCTCTCTCTCAAACATGTGGCCCTGAAACCCACAAGGAAAGTCACGGGTAAGGTGAACAGTGGATCTATTTTTTTTCTCTCTCTCAAACATGTGGCCCTGGAACCCACAAAGGGAGTCACAGGTAAGGTGAACAGTGGATCTATATTTTCTCTCTCTCTCAAACATGTGGCCCTGGAACCCACAAGGGGAGTCATGGGTAAGGTGAACAGTGGATCAAAAACTATTTCTCCCCACAGCGCTTAAATGGATCAAAAACTACTACTCCCTTCGACGCTTAAACAATGGATCAAAATATATTTCCTCCCCACGACGCTTCAATGGATAAAAAAACTATACCTTTCCACAGGGCTTAGCTCAACGTCTAAATATTGCTATCTATCGAGCAATAATGGCAGAAGTGGTAACTAATGAAGATGGCCTAAATGTTTTTACTGCATAACCTTATGAGGCTCTCAAAGGGATGTTTTTCGCAGTGAATAATATGGGACCGGTAATCGGAAGAATTTTAAAATAATCATCAATGAAGTACAGATCCAGAAGCTATTATTTTGAAGGCGTCCACTGAATTTCATTCATGGCATTAGCAGTTGCTGTCTTCATAATCATAATCTAACCCAGTCTACTGTCGATAAAAATAGAAAAGGTGACAAAGTACAGTGGAACCTCCCTTAACGAGCATAATTCGTTCCAGAATCAGACTCGTAAAGTGAAACACTCGTTATGCGAAACAATTTTTCTCATATAAATTAATGTAAATTACAATAATGCGTTCCATGGCGAAAAAATACTCACAAAATGTTATGTATAACGTTTATTCAAACAAAATTATTTACATATTGTTAAGGAGAGCCAAAGCTTCTTCCAAGCAGAAGTTAGGGCTCTCTTGGTAACCCCTTCCCATGCCTTGTCGATCATCCTGAGGCAGTCAACGATGTGGAAGTGATTTTTCCAAAACTCTTTGAGAGTGAGGTTGGTCCCTTCAGTCACCTGAAAACTATGCTCGAAGAGTGCTTTAGTGAATAGCTTCTTAAAGTTAGAAATAACTTGCTGGTCTATTTGCTGGAGTAACGGAGTGGTGTTGGGAGGCAGAAACTGGATCTTGATGAACTTAAATTCTTTAGGCAGGTCATCTTATAGGCCTGTAGGATGGGCAGGAGCGTTATCCATAAAAAGCAAGACATGGAGTGGCAGTTTCATCTCAAGCAAATATTTTTTTCACGGAAGGACCAAACACTTCCTTGATCCACTCACCCAAGCCTTCCTGTTGGACCTCCACATGACATTTACCATGCTCTTCTGGATTTTGCATTTATTGAAGGCTCGTGGAGTGGTAAACAAGCAGCAATTTTATTTTCAGTCGCCGCTTGCATTGGCACAAAACAGGATCGTGAGACAGTCTTTGATTGGCATGTGGCCGGGCAATGCATTCTCCTCTGTTGTTATATGCATTTACTTCAGCATCTTTTTCCAGAAGAGACCTGTTTCATCACAATTAAAAACCTGTTGCAGCAAGTTACCTTCAGAATCTACAAGCTTCTTGAAATCGCCGACGAAGTTCTCTGCTGCTTTTGTGTCGGAACTTGCTGCTTCACCGTGCCTCAGAACACTGTGGATGCTGGTTCTCCTCTTGAACTAACCACCGCTTCCCTTAAATACTTCATCTTCTTCGGCCGTTGATGATCCTGGCATCTTCTTAATAAGGTCGGAGAAAATCATTTTTGCCTTCTCACAAACGATGTTCTCATTAATAAGTGTCACCTTGCAATTGCTTTTCATTTATCCCTATTCTTCTTCTTCTTCTTCACCGGCTGTGAATTCTGGCGGTAAGTCGCAGTTGTTCATCCAAATGGACTTTTGGCTTTTACCTTGACCTGAGTTTTGCGTGTACATCTGTTTTACTGGCTTATTTGTTTGCAGTTCTCATTCCCCGCCTCTCCGGCAGATGTACTCCGACTTCGAGGGAAGACGTCAAGCCTATTTCTAGGTTGACTGTGGCCATTGTTTTGTGTGGGTCGAGATGTTGCCTCATTTGT